TACACACATACACATACACACAGCATCAAAAACTGTATCATCACTGTGTCTTCTTCGATTGAAGCGGTCTCTTCTCCATCATAATTAAAACACCAAGACTGAGAGGAAAACAGACACCACTCTCTTTTCAGTGAATGACTGGATGACAGTTAGGTTAGCACTATAAGTGTGTGGGAGTTTTTTTCATTATTTTTATCATTATTATAATTCTTATTCTTATTCTAATTCTTCTTATTATTGTCTTTATTATTGTCTTTATTATTATTATTATTATTATTATTATTATTATTATTATTATTATTATTATTATTATTATTATTATTGTTATTATATTGTCATTATTATATCAATTATAATAATAATAATCATTATTATTGTCATTATTATTATTATTATTATTTATATTATTATTATCATCATAATCATTATTATTTTTACTATTATCATCGTCATTATCATCGTCATCATCAATGTTATTATTATTATTATTATTATTTATATTGTCATTTTTATTATTATTATTATTATTGTTATTATTGTTGTTGTTATTATCATCATCATCATCATCATCATCATCATCATCATCATTATTATTATTATTATTATTATCATTATTATTATTATCATTATTATTATTATTACTATTATTATTATTATTATTATCAACACTTCTGTGGAGGCATCACTTTAGTCCAGGACAAACATCCTTGAGGGTACAAAGTGTATTTTACTGTATTGTCATCTCATCTCATCTCATCTCATGCCTTATTTCACTGAAACATGTCATAACAGACTGTATCATATTGTATCATATCTTGTTGTTTTTTTATGTTGTAAGGGATTGGTTAGTTTCCCTCCAGAGACAATCATGTCTCATGTCATACTGTATTATATGGTAGTTTTTATTACCATATCGTACCATTTCCTGTCATTTGGTATTGTGCTTTATCACTTCCTATCATATCACATTGTGCTGGATTGTATCTTATCATGTCATACAGTAAAAAATATCACCTTTTATAACCAGGGCACTTCCTGGAGTGAGCTAACAATGAGTATACAGAAAATAATGACAACACACAGGCTGTATAAAGACAACCCCAGTCTGATTTAACCCCTGATTATCACACTGATAGACTTTATGTAAAGATATACTCTTTCTGAAGGTAAAAATACCACTCTTAACTGTGCGTAGAAATAAAGGCCTGTCTCTAATACAAGCCTACCTCATATACAGGCCTGGTACTTTCTGCAGTGAAAGCAAATACAAGACCCGGCATGTATTTGAAGATTTATCTAAACTATTAAAAATGAAAATACAAAAGTCAACTCTACACAATCTCTTATCATATCAGAGACTTATAAACAATTGTCTTATCACTTTCTAAGAGCTCACTGTCATTCTGTCTCATCTGCCACCAAATTGTGCACAATTATGAACTCCCTGATGTTTTTTCTCCCATCTTTGTTCTATCAGAATGAAACCGTCTCCAGATTGACAAGAATAATGTTCCTCTCAGCAGGGTTTAGTCACTCCACGGTGGTGCACAGGTTTGCTCTGAGCCTGTAAATTGCTTTTCTGTCCTCGTGAATTAGGAGAACTCTGTATTTGCTGCAGGCGAGGAGGTGGACCAAGTCTTGGAATTGGCTGTGTTGGATTAGCTGGTTAGTGAGCATATTGGCAGAGTGATTACCTTTCACTAAGCAAAGTAAGGCGAGTCTATTTGTATTTGTGGATTTTGGTTGTAAAGTAGCTCAAAGTGCCTCTCACAAGACTTTAGAAAAGACTCATGATGAAGAGATGGAGAAACGCGCTGAAAGAAAACATTTAAAACAAAGAAAATGTATAAAAATATGTATAAAAGGATAAAGTCTTTCTGTATGCTGTGGCCTCTGAACTGATGCAGGGTTGTTATGCATGTGTGACATTTTGGCATCTCGCCACGTTGCAGCGCACAGCAGCAAGAGAAGGTCGATTCTGTTTACATTCTGTTAAAGTGCAAATTTATACGGTTCACATGAGGACATGCACCATTTGACATGAAGCACTATATATATAATGTATGCCCTGCAGGCATGGCGAAGGGGATCAGGAGGTGTCAGCGAAGACGCTGGGAGCATGAGCAGAGGTCCATCAGGACAACGGCTATTACCTGAACTTAATTAACCCGTGAGTCATCCACGGTGTCCTTCAGCGGAGACACCATAGAGGGTAAAGTGTGGGGTAATTGGCCCGGGCTGCTGCTGGTTCTCCATTATGGTCTCTAATTATATGTATTCAATCTTCATTCAAGGTGTAAATCAGCATCTGATTAGGTCGCGAGGGTGGGCATGGAAATCTGACAAACGGTGACACAGATGATGCAGGAGCAACCCTACGGAGCCGCGGATTGTTCCTTTAAACGCATTCAAAGAAAAGCACATCTGTGTTTTCGCTGCAGGGCTACAATACCAGTGGTTTGTTTTCTGACTGGTCCACGAATTATTTTGAGGGTTGTCCAGTCGTCTGAGTGGAAAAGTTGGTTGAGTAACGTTCACATTGACCATGTTGACATCGTTTTATGTTAAATTAATCAATCAAAACATAAAAACTCTTATTTAAATGACAGAAGTGTTGGGCAGTATGACAGTATAAACCGTGTGACAGTATTAAAGTGTCTACCAGTAAAAATTTTGCTCTACCGTTTATACCGGAGAGAGAGCAGATGTCTGTGTTTCCGTATATTCACCAGCGTGTCGTGTGGAGTTTGTTCGCTGTGTTTCGTTGGTCAGGTTTGGGTGCGCTCTCTATAATCACCAGTATGTCCATCAGACTGCTTGGCATAGTTTCGACGAAGAAGAAACAGCTTCACTGGTGGTGGTCATGGCGGACGCTGAGATTAGTGGCAGTACTGAGCAAACAGAGGCAGACCGACCCACCCAACATGAGGAAGAGGAGGAGGAACTCGTTCCGAAAAAGGTCGCGAGTCGCAATGTCGGTTGTCTGGAGATTCTTCCGATCTAGAAAATACGACAATACTATGCAAAGAGTGTCGTGTGACACCAACAACCTCTTCCACCACCTAAAGATGAAACACGCCAAGTTCTATTATAAGAGCCAAAAGATGCGTGACGCACCTGCTGCACCAAAAACTAAAACTGCAGCAGCTCCTCTAAGACAAAAGAGTTTTCAGAGTCTTTCACCAAAGGTACGCCATATGATAAAAAATCGCCAGACTGGTCTGACATTTTGTTTAGTAAATAATGTTCTTCCAGTTGAAATCAAAGTATGTTATTTACTTGTGTAAAAAGGTCTAATAATGCAAAGTTATTCTATCATAAACGTTATTGATTCGATATTTGAGATGTAACAAAACCAAAGTGAACCGAAATAAAAGCAGTCAAAGGTGTCAGTTATCAAACTCACAAACTCAACGACCAGTTGAAGAGTTTGGGAACATTTTCACAATGTTTAGACAAACTAAAATCTGTGCTTCAACTCTGCGCAGGCTACTGAGGTCAAAGTCTCCAGTCAGGATGACTTTATGACAGAAAAAAACTGCACAAAACAGACTCATGAGCTCCATTAGGAAAACAATAAGTGAATAAAGATTAACTGCTCCTCTTGCTGAATATCAGTTATTAGCTATTTAAATTAAAAACCTTACATTCATATATGTCATGATGTGAAATAAATGGGTTATACTAAATTAACTGACCTTTATTTTATGACTGTACAAGTTTTATTTTGTTGTTATCTTTATTTCTCGTTGACAGAAGTAGTTCTTAAAAGGTAGAATTTCAGTTTTGAGGCGTTAGTGTTTCTTTTTTTTTCTGGTGTCTAACAACACTAAAACACTTCAGGACTCCTGTATCACCGACTCTCCTGCGGTGATGATTTATGTGCTTCTTCTTTTTGATGTCCTTGTTACGTCAGCCCTAAAAGGGTCCACAGAGATTTATTGCTTTTAGAGCCTCTAGAGGCCAAAAGAGGAACTTCAGCTTCTAGGTTTCTCTGCCCCACAGTTTACCCCGTAGTTAGATAAAAGGATCACAAACCTGAAGCTTCAACGTCAGAAACCAAAGTCAGTGTAGCTGTTGTGTTAACCACTTTGTCCTCAGTTTGACTGAAGTTTGACTACGAGACACTTTGAGACAGAGGGTTTAGGTTCGCCGCCTGTCAGAGATGCTTCAACACAACACTGCTGTCTTTTAGACTCACGGTGCACGACCCCCCTCCCTCTAAACAACACTCTTTTAATCCCGAGCACTGCTGCTACACGAGTCTTCATATATCACAGGAAACTCTTACATCACACGCTGTCATGGGGAGCACATACGGAGAGGAGCGGCTCAGGGAGGAGGGGAACCAAAAGAACCAGAACGCAAAGAGATGAAAGCATCCAGAGAAAGCTCGAGCAGCTTCAAAGAGAAACGGCAGCGATCTTAACGCCACGGCCTCGTGTCAGTCTCGCCTTTACAAGCGGCTCGGAGAAAGAGGGATACAGTGGGTCCTGTGATGGAGAGGCTGGGCTTTAAAACGCTTTTACACAACAAATAATCCCAACAGTACTCGTCTGTTTTCTTTCACATCTCAAGGAGGGACTTTTAGTTTAAACGGAGGCTGGTTTCAGCTTAAAGGATCATGCTGCGGCTCTTGAAGCCAGAAACATGCAGATCTGATCAGAAATGAGGACGCTGAAGGCAAAATCAAAACTTTCTCTACCTTTACTTTTGATTTTCTCTCGTCTTGTTTTTTTCATTCGGCCTCATTTTACTCTGCAACATGTTGTTAGCAGCACATATTTGTGTAAAGTACCGCCCGAGCGACAGCTGAAGCACTTTGTAGCCTTGCAATTTCATCCTATTTGCAGCCACTTCAACTCAAATAATTTCCTGTAACCTCAGTCATTTATTCCTCTCAGTGTGTTGACAGTCAAAAGATGCTCCACAGAGAGAGAGAGAAAAAAAAATCATCACGGCGATGCATTTACCTCAGATGACTGACCCTTTGATGAACAAGGTAATACTCCGCTGACAACGCCATTACGGCTCTGACAGTTATGGACATTTTCCCACAGAGCACCTCACCCATAAACCTGTGACGAACACCTCAATGTACGGTATGTGAAGAGCGCCATTGTGAGGAACCTCTGCTGAGAAATATGTATTGATGATCCTGTCAGACTGGTCGCATGTCGGAGACGTGGTTCTTAGATTACTTTGAAATGATGGCGACAAATTCCTCCGTGTAATTCTGCAAACTATGACTTAAAACTTTCGCTTACATGTGCACAAATAATCGTGATAAAACAGCGTCATGTAAATATGTTGATCGAAAATTCTGATCCAATTCTGCTGAACCAGGATCTCACTTTGTACTAAAATACTGACATTAATGACTCCCAGTCAGAAATAAAGGCCTGTCTCTAATACAAGCCTACCTCATATACAGGCCTGGTACTTTCTGCAGTAAAAGCAAATATAAGACCTGGAAAGAAACTGTATTCCGATCAAGCGTGGTGGTTTATGCGTCCATGTAAACACCAATTCCGATCGTGACTCTCTAACCTGACTCCGTCTTCATTCTTTAGTTATTGAGGTCAGTACAGAAGGTTTCATTATTAACACTCTGACATAAAACACAACAACAGGCGCCGTGTCTGCTCCTCCGCTAACATTACAATGTGTACAAACAGCGTAATGACGTCATATCTGCCACACAGTGCAAACTTTGACAGAACAGTAAAATAGGTAAGCAAGGGCGCCATCTAGTGACAATATTTAACAGAGGGGAAAACTCCTAAATTGAGTGAGCCACTATGGTGTAGGGCCCGACTGATATGGATCTTTTGGGGCCGATGCTGATACCGAATATTAGGGGGGAAAAAATCTTTTAAATTTTTTCATTAAGTTACAAAAAATATGAATTTATACTGTAGATATCTATGGTATACTATATACTGTAAATATACTGTAGGCTACTGCAAAGTCAGGGAACTTTTCAAATGGTGGAACATTTTCAAAGTGAAATCTAATCTTATTCTCCTCATTATATTTCTGAAAATATTGGCGAAAAATCGGCGAGTTTTGGCCGATCACCGATTAGTCTCAAATGGGTTAAAATTGGCTGATTTGCAACACCAGTCCCGCCGCTCCACCTGTGCCACACTAGATTAATATGTGGTGGTTCTTGTCTTCACATCTTGTCTGTTTTATACACAGTCAGTCCTAATCTAGCAACTAACAACATTAAAGCAGCAATCCCTCTTATTTTCATGATTTTGTTTTTATACAACTTTTACTTGTTACCTGTACAGGTGCCCCCTGCTGGCCATCAGAAGAACAAAAATTTTGCAGCATAACATCTCTCCACGTTTCTAACAGGGTCTGTCCAGCTCCTGATTTGTATCCGCGCAGCATTTCCGCAGATTACGATGCAATAAATGAGGCATTTCTTTCATTACCTCTGAAGAATAATTTGATCTCCGTGTTTTAAAGGTCAGACAGACTTCTTTAAGCCTGTTTCATGAGGGGCTTTGAGACTGAATTACTTCCACATTCTCTATCCATCAGAGGTTGGAACTATTAACCACCGCTGACCTTCCCTTTTGATTTTCTCTGTAATATAGGGAGATGGTAGATATTCATTTAACTAAGCCAGAACCCTGTGTGATTATATGTGACAATTAAACTTGAACCTGATTAACCCACACACCAGCGCTGCCACTCACGCTGGAAATATGTTTCACCGTCTCTCTGCGGCTGAGAACATGACACATACATCAGACTCTTCCTCGTCTTTACAGAGAGGTATACAACACTGCAAGACATCAAAGTGAGAAAAACAAGTATGTTGCTGCACCAACAACATGTCACTGCTGATACTGTACGACTGCGCATCCTTTTGATCAAACCATGCTCTCACTCCAGCATCCACCTGCAAGATCTGAGGGTTATTGACTGAACTACCTGCTCTGCAGAGAACAGTATATCCTTCTGACAGTGATATAATGAATACACTCTTTAGTGTACTGCCTGTAGAATAAAAATAATGACTACATGGGAAAGTTGATTTAATTTCATGATGTACAGATGAAAGAATAAACGGGTTTCTCTTGTTAATGAGCGGTAAGTCTCCAGAACTGTTTCAGGGAGGGCTGCACGGTTTTGGTCGAGAATAAAATCCAGATATTTTCTCTGAAAATGCAATTTTCAATTTTTAATTCAGTGACAACTTCACCAAACTTCACTTTAATAATAAAAGTTTTTCCATCATCTCTCAAAATAAAAACATTGAAAACGATGTAGTGCGTACGCCAAGCTATGAAATCAGATTTCTGTCAAAAATAATCAAACAAAACTTTTTCAACATCAAACAAAAATAAAACTTTGAGAGAGAATAAAACTCACAAAGTCATTTCAAAAGTAAAACTTGTAACTTGCAAACAAATCCTTTGTTTGTCGCTGCCAGCTCTCTCATTGGCTAGTGAATTTTAGAGTGACAGCTCAGTGGAAACCCATTTCGGCCGCTCGTATCCGCGATCTCGTTCTTTCGGTCATTACCCAAAGTTCATGGCGACAGGTGAGGATCGGCACGTAGATCGACCTGACGCTTTTTCCTAATCCATGTTACAGCCATCATGCTACTTCAACTGAGACCAGCATGCACTTTGATTAAACCCATCGCTATATTCCTCAAGTTGAGGAGTTACTCAGACATTTGTGATTTGTTTGGCCTGAAAATGTTGGAATAAAAGTCTAAGAGTCAAAAGTTTGATATTGAAATGACTACAGTTATTTATTCCCCACATTGAAATGATAACAATATGACTTCAGCTGCATTAAGGTGCTCCTAAATAAAAGAGCATACTGCAGTTGGAGCCGTTTAAGGGTCTCACAGGATAAGATAAGTGCCTCTAAAACTGAGAATAAGATCATTCAGCCTGTTCTGTTTGTTATAAGATAAACGGTATAAATGCCCCGAGCAGTTTTCACATGACAATGGAGAATAAATCTTCCTGAGTATGAAATATAAGACTCAAACTCATCAGAGTGAGTGTAATATTACTGAGGATTATAGATATGAGAGCTCTGACAGCGGTATGATCATATTTCAGGTCTCGCCGCTAATGTGGACTCGTTTCTTTTCTCCCAGGATCAGGCGAGTCATCTTTTTGGATGGATGACATTTTGGAAACACTGCCTTTAAATGCTGAGCACGCAGTTTTTTAATGTAAAACCGTTCCTCTCTCCGGGGAAATTACTGTACATTTTATCTTTAAGGCAAATATTACTGCGACTCATCCTTCTCGGACTTAATGAGATTTTTTAATGCAGCTTCACACGCGTGGTAATTGTCAAACCTCTGAATCTAGTCACAGTTTGTTCCTCCCTGCTGCTGCTGTCTGAAGTTTTAAACCCTGAAACCATGCAGTCTGGTTCAATCTATCAACCCAAATAAGGGCTGTATTATTTTATCAACCCTGGTTTTCATTCATAACCTCAGGTAAATGAACGGAAATCAACCGGTGACCATAAGCAGACCAAGTCCAGGTCAATGATAATGATCCGCAGTCCCTTGGGACTCCGTTAACATGCTCTATTTGCCTCAGCTTATTGAGTAAAGACTGCCGGAGCTTAGCTTCATCGCTTCTCCTTCGGCTGAGCAGCAAAGACTTCTAACATATGTTCAATACTCTAATGAGGTCTGACGCTTCCCATTCATTATCACGTTTAACGCCTGAAATTGAAAGACGGAGCGTCAGGTCGTCGATGGAGAAGGTCGATGTTTCGACTGCGGCACATCCAAAGTCCCTGACCTGCTCTTATTGGTAAACAGACTTCCAGGCGTTTTTTAAAACCCGGAGCTGCTCTGGGGCCGGTTTATGGTGCTTACCAGGAAATCAATACCACTTGGTCCAACATGACTTGTTTAGACGGACATCAGATCAACAACGATTAAGGAGTCCGTCAGCCTGGACCGCTCTATAGAAGGTGGTTTGAACTTTATGACGTTAGCAGCTTGGCTAACGTTTGTAAGTTTGACATATTTGCAGAGCTTGACACTAACTTTTTTCACAAGGAGCACATGTGATCAAATAATGTTTGTCTTATTGGTCGACATAAGTACTATTATTTGAAATCAATTTTAGGTCAGTTTGTCACATGACATGGAAGCTATAGAAGGAAAACAGCCTTTTTTGAGAACATCAACCGGTAATTTATTGACGGTCCCTTAATCAACATGGAACTATAAAGCACTGCTGTTGCTTTTCCCGGTTATGGAGAGTGAGAAGACAAATCCACAGTGAATGTCCATCAGATATCCAACCTAAAACTAACTTCGCCACATTTTCTGATTCGCACACATCTATTGTTAGTTGCAAATGCGAATGAAATGGCTGCACTGTCGAGCCCTGAATTGACTGGGAAGACTTGGAAATCATGGACAGAGTCTGAGTATGATCACCAAGGAGTTCTGGTTTCTCAAGACATATTATGAAGCTTAAAAAAGACTTTTACTAGTTGAAAATCTTGAATCTGTAAAATTCTCCAGTTTTCTTGCAATTTTGACACCAAAGACATTTCTTTTTTTTATTCCTCCCAGGTAACTTCTTGGATTTTGAGGCCAAAAACAAGATAAACTCTCCCTGAATGCACCTCAAATCATGTGACGACCATACAAACAGGTGTGTGCAGCTCTGTCTACATCTCAAGCGGTGCAGGAGAAAAGCTTGCAGATGCGTCATCACGTCGCTCATCGCTCAAAAGATGTGATCATGCAAAGCTGGGATGGATAAACATGATCTCTAGCAGGTCTAAGAGAGTTGAACAGGCTGTAGAGTACAGCTCATGTGATCTCACTTTGCAGATCCATCGTTTTTGCTCGCTCAGATCCCATTTATGCTTTCTACAGCGAAACTCCAAGAGTCTGACTTTGTGTCAAAGAGAGGAGGCGGTGGGATCATCACGCCACAGGGAAGTGTATTTCTATGAGTTTAACATAAATCAATGTCAATTTTCTCTTGATAAATTATTTACACAAACCTCCAGGATCTTCTCCTACCAGGGTCACAGAAACATATACTGACATTTTTTGACAGAAGACCTCCATACTTCAGAAACCAGCCTCTCGGCGTGTCTTTGAACCGGTCTGAAAACAGGAAAAGAGGTGGAGCAGTGGTGGGCTTAGAGCTTCCTAGAAAACAGCTGCAAAGTGCCGATCCATCAGTCGATTATGCCGAGTTATTACACATACTGAGGCATGACTTCTAGTCCTCAAATAATCAAAAAAAGATCCATACAGTATGATGAAGAAACTGCCTCAAACCTAAACAAGGCTGCAAACATGTTTAGATCCTTAGTTGGTAACTGTTGGTGAGATGCTTTCCACATGCGCCAACATCGTGAACTACCAGTTTGTCGAGGTTTGCATGAAACTGAACAGCTAAAAACTGCTTAAACGAATTTTTGAAAGGAGATCCTGCTACTCTTCATCATTAGAAGTGCGCTGCAAAGTGAAGGTGTTGAGTATTTACTGTATCTGGAACAATCTACCTGTGTGCTGCTTTCCAATCTGTCTCATTGTGTCTTTGACTCAGGCTTTTATTTTAAGGGTCTTTTTTTCCATCTTCTGCTTGTACTTTTAAAAGTGTCCCTTTAAAGCTGTTTAACCTTACATCATATTAAAGTATGGCGTGTACCTTATTAATTAAAGACAACACTGTAGGTTTTATGACAAAATGCTAAAAATTTAAGGTAATCAGAGGATCTGAATCACAAACCTTTTAAGTATGCAAACTCTGGGCCTGCATATTTAAAAAATATGCTCTTATTAAATTTTGATTGAATGATTTGCTGAAGGTCAGCTGAGCTCTCCATCACTGACTGATGATGCTCATTAATATGCCGGATGATCCAGCGTGGTTTCTCAGATATTACAGTCCTTGAGGACGAGGGAAACTCTGAACCTGGTCTGTCAGGACACCTGTTGGAAACCGTAGCGGAGCTGCGCGGTCAGATGTCCTCAGAAAAACGTGAAAAGCCCATCACACCCTTCCACCAGAAAAAAAAGAAAAAACAGGCCAAAAGAGCGACGGCTGGAAGTCCTTGTGTTCTGTTGAGAGTGGGAGGATTAAAGCCGGGCGAGAAGATGAGAGGAGAACGAGGAGGGACGGCCTGAACGGGCTCGTGCGGCGGGGCAGATTACTCGCGCGTGTGGTGTTCACACAGATTTTTATGAGGCTGATATCAAAGCAGCAGCTGGAGGAAAAAGGCCACGCTGAGATTCACAAGGACGGACGCGGAAGAGGGAATGAGGGATGCAATCTATGTAAACAAGGTGGAGCACACCGAAGACCGCGTGTTTGTACGTATACATCCATGCACGGCTCAGCGTGTCTCTAACTTGTAGTGAAAACTCAGGCGGCGAACACGCAGGGCTGATATTTTATACAGCAGTGAACTAAAACCTTGGGATGAATTCAGAAGTCTCTTAAAAAATGCAAACCCCATCAAAGCGCTGCAGTCTGAATCCATATGAAGATGCAGCTGGCTCGCTCTCGGAGCAGATACTCTCAGCTCTGGCCTTGATGTAAACCCTCTGGGTGTACATTATTAAAATCTCCCTCCATTCTTATGGGGGAGAGAGACGCCGCGCTTTAACCTCTTCTCCAAACGTATTTCTCTGGCACAGAGGATGTATGTTTTTGTTTAACTTTATCGTCTGTTTACTGTTCTCATTACAGTACCTAATAACTTATGTAATATGTTATCCAGCAGTCATTTGTCCGAGCGTATCTCGGTGGTGAATCTTAAGACGTTTTCATTCTGTTGCAGAATTAATTTCCTGTGTTAGATTATCCGCCCCAAACCAAACACACAGTTCACCCAGAAAACGCAACAGAAGACGGTTTTATTTACATCCCATAAGTAGGTGATCTATCCAAAGATATTCCATAGATTACTTTAGCGGGATAGAGCTTCAGAAATAATATCAGAGGACACAGACTGACTGTTGCTGTGTTGGCTGAAGACGGTCCGTTCAGTATCTGTGAACACAAACACCGCGTAGAGAAAATAGAAATAGGTCAGAAACAAATAGAAAAGCAATATATACAGTGAGTGGAGAGTTTATTCTGGAGCTGCTCCGACGGCGATAAACGGAGACGTGACTTTAAGGGCATGAGCTGAGATTGTGTTCGTCCGTCACCTCATTACTCCGAGAAACAGACTCTGAGAAAAGAGTCCCAGTGAAACGCTGTCTGACTTTATAATCTGTGTGTCTGTACAGACCAGAAAAACTACGTTTAACATCAAAGCTGCAGTCTGTGGCTCTGCGTTCACTCCAGCCTCAGTCCGCTAAATTCTCCAAAGGTCATGAATCGACCGTCCTTGACGATCATCTCAAGGCTGCCGTCATTCCTGTTGATTGCACACCTTCTTCTACCTCTCTGACAGAAGTAAACTTTTCTTATCTTAACTTCTGACATACTCAGCCTATACTGAGTGTCCTTTTCTACTCAGGAATGTTGCTTTTTTTCAGTGTTTTGTTGCTCCAGACTCAACTTTTATGAACCCTGCTTCTGCCAAAACATTTAAAATGTTTTTCAGTCTCAACATTTTACATCATCTTTGCTCAGTTTCCTCTTAAATAAAGAGGTTTCAATGATTCGCAAACCATAATATTCAGTTTTTATCAACATTGTGTACAGCATCCAAACTTTTGAGGGACCGAGGTTGTGTGTGATCATCCATGGCGGACATTGGCGGAGAGTCACGGTCAATCAAATCATCAAGAAATGTGGGTTCAGTTTAGGTGTTTAGGTGTAGACAAATTACCGGGGACAATATTGCATAAGTAGCTAATTCCTGATTGACAAAAGAACAGCCAATAAAATCAGTTAGCTTGATCTAAATGGCTGGATGTCACATGACCCTGTCACTGAAGGTGTTTTGTGTTGGAGTCTTAAAGTTTGTCATGGTTCCAAACCTCAATTATCGATCTCATGAACGACTTATAATAAATTTCCTTTTGGGGATAAATAAAGTTCTTGTATTGTATTAATAATTGGTATCAGTATCGTCCCTGAAAATCCAACATTAGTCGACCACTATGACCCAAAATATCCACCGCATAGGGAACGGCAACTCTGTCAGTGCAATATTTATCTTTATCTACGAAACAAACCACGTTTGCATGGTGTGAAATATGATCCGCCTGAAATACATAGAGTTTTATTTTGAAAAGAAAGACGGATGTTTTATTTTGTGTCTGTGCCCAACTTCCTTCCCAGCACGGGCTAATCTGTGATGAATTTTTGCAGCATGCTGTGGCGTCCAGAAAAAATAGAACCCTGACAATCGGCTACGAAGCCTGCTGAACCGAAAGAAGCCGGTGGAGTTTGGCACATTAACTTGAATGGAAACAATAAGCAGCAATCGGCGGCGATTGGCCTTTTTGCTGCTGTTCCGCATACGGTGGAATTTTGGGGTTAGGAACCTTTTAGGACATTAGGAAACAGATATTCAAGGGCCAATTTTGCATGTGGGTTCTCCTGGAGGTTTTTGTCGTGTCAGGTCTTGAATCTGAGTTTCAAACTTTGATGAGCACGAGAAATCAGCAGGACAGCTGCTGTGGGTGGTTGTTGAAAGTCCGCCGCCTTATGTGTCTGTTTACGACCTGCTGTTCAACCGTCGGTACTTCAGTCTGAGAGCTCACAACACCCTTTGACTACTTATTTTTTTGTCGTCGTGCACATGACGTGATTCAGTGAAGAGAAATCAAGTCGTTTGGGATAAAAAAAGAAAAAAAATACTTGAATATTTCAGATGATTACCTGCAAACAAACTGTAACAGGCTGTTGAATCAGGGTCCCGGTGGGGTGTAGGAGGAAGCTGGCAGCGCACAAACCAACACCTCGAAGGAATCTTTTCAAGCATCAATCCAGAGCAGCACTTCCAACTGTAAGAGGAAGGCCGCCGTGGGTCGCTAATAGATGAAACAAGGCAAATTGGCTGCTAGCAGGTGGGGCTCACCAGCCCTGCTTGAATCTTCAGTCGGGAAGTCTGGCTGTGAAGTCGAAGCCATTATTATATCTGAGGAGGAGCTACAGTTGAATTTGGTGGCACAGGTGCTGCCGAGTTTTGTGCGGCGCTTTGAGCTGTGTACCAAGAATTCAGCAGGGAGCAGAACAAAGGCGGCACAGAGTCGCATGAAATATACAGAAGCTGAAGTAACGAGGCGACCGAATTCATCAGAGCGACTGTATATTCATTAAAAAGAGAGAGCGGAGAGGAGGGAGAAAACAGCGCCGATAAACGGCACTGAGACGGAAACACGGAGGGAAAGTCGGCTGTGAAGTCAGAGCTTTACTCGAACAGGAACAGCTGACGGATGATTGATGGTGATGACACTTGAGGGATGTAATCGCAGTTCTGATGCAACCGATCGTCATATTCAGGCTTTGTGATCCGTATGCAAAACAGCTGATGACGCGCAGAATTTCACAGCACCTTCACCTGATGATCGAGATCAACCAAGAAGAACAACAAAAAGGAGCTCCCCATGGTGGAGGAGAGAGAGGAGGATCAGACTCTGGAGGGGAACTGCGTCAGTTACACATTTGACAAACCTAGCTGGGCAACGAGATGTGTATCTGTTGTCTGTATTTGTTTACATCCGGGTAGTAGAGCACTCCAGGGATAATATTACAAAAATGAAGTTATGAAGTTACGATTAAAGTCTTCATATCAGGAGGATTTAGTTTAGTTATTTATGTTTAGTAGGGATGGGACGATGTGCTTTTTTCTCTCAATTCGATTCTTCTACGATTTTTTTGGCTGCTGATTCGATTTAAATTGCGATTCATGATATTGTCGATTTTCTTGATTTTTAGTCAGAATTTTAACACCAGTGAGAGAGTTGAATGATTCTGATTCACTCCTGACTATT